GAAGAGCGCGCAGCCGAGTGAGTGGATCTGGTGTGGAGATGCAGTGAGTGGGTGCGCCGCCGAGCGACTGGTGGTGTGTGCGGGAGAGATTTTTTCTTTACCGAATCTGCAGGAGAAAATTAGATGGATCGGGGATGGACCGGGGTGGGCAAATTTCCATCTCCCCAAAATACCCTTTCTATGTGCGGGATTTTATTTTTATTTTAATCTCGTGCGGGAGGCGTTTTTTCCCTCTGCCCATTTTGCCCTTCGGAGAAAAAATACTACTCCTTCGCTGGACAAGTATTGATCACGTTGGACCATCAGATCTACTGATTGGATGGCTGATATTTCTTTGTCCTTACCGTAAAAGGCCTCTTCTTGAGAAGGTCTAGTCCATGATGGATAGCATGCCACATTGATGACGCATTACCTGCAAAAACAGTATCCACTAGAGAACCATTAGGGTAATATTTAGCCTTTAAAACTCTCGCGCATAGCGAGTCCGGCTTTATCAGGAGGCGCCAAGCTTGTCTTGCGAGCAGGGCTTGGTTGAAGAGGCGGAAATCACGGAATCCCAACCCTCCTCTACATTTAGGTTCTATCATCTTGTCCCAAGCAATCCAATGAGCCTTCCTTTTTCCTTGCCTTTTTCCCCACTAGAAATTTCTTACAAGGTTTGTGAGGTCATCACATACTGAAAATGGCAGTTTAAAAACACCCATTATGTATGTAGGTAAGGCCTGACCAACAGATTTTATCATCATCTCTTTTCCTGCCTGAGAGAGTGAATCCCCCCAAAGCAAAATTCTCTTCATTAATCTTTCATGTAGGTTCTGGAATCTGCCCTTATGCATGCGTCCATCCGGGGTTGGGAGCCCCAAATATTTTTCTTCAAAGTCCTCACCTTGGATTTGTAACACCTGACGTACATCTTGCTTGTCCTCCTCTACACAACAAGTACCAAACTTAATGGAGCATTTTTGAGGATTCACAAGTTGGCCGGTTGCACTAGCATATTTATCTATGACCTCCTTTATGTGTGTGGCCTGGTCATGGTTTGCTTTAAAAAACAGTAATGCGTCGTCCGCAAATAGGAGATGGGATATACCAGGAGTATTGGTGCACACTTTTACCGGGTCAATAATATTCATCTCCATGCCCTGTCTCAAAAGCGCAGAAAGACCATCAGCCACGAATAGAAACAAAAATGGGGATAATGGGTCACCTTGCCGAAGCCCACGCGACGGTACAAACGAATCCAAGATAGCTCCATTAAATTTCACTGAATATCTCACCGAGGTAACACATGTCATAATCCACTGTACCCATTGGTGAGCGAAGCCCATCTTTTGCATCGCTTGTCTCAAGAAACCCCAATCCACACGGTCATATGCCTTTGACAGGTCTAATTTATATGCATAATAATTTCTTCCCTGGTTCTGCTCATGTTGCATATAATGAAGACATTCAAATGCCAATAAAGCATTATCAGTAATTAGCCTCCCCGGGACAAACGCGCTCTGTTCTGGAGACACAATACCATCGAGGATAGGTCGCAGTCTATTCACCAGACACTTGGCAACAATCTTATAAATGACATTGCATAAGCTAATCGGTCTAAAATCCGTTTGCCTAATGGGTTCTTTAACTTTGGGTATAAGTACTATTACCGTATCATTGACCCCAGGAGGCATTTGACCTGTCATGAAGAACTCCTGCACTGCCTTGACAATTTCCACTTTTAACACTGCCCAGTTACGCTGAAAAAAACGAGCTGGGAATCCATCTTTACCAGGTGCCTTGAGCGGTCCAATCTGGAAAAGACTATCCGATATTTCCTTCTCCGTGAAGGGTGCACACAACTTGTCATTCATGGCTGCTGTAACTCTAGTCTCAAAAAGATTTAAGACCGGCGAGGGATCAAGTTGTTCATCTCTAGTAAATAAATTTTGGAAGTACGAGGTAACCATATTACCCATGGTTGCATGATCAGTTTGACTTACCCCTGAGTCATCAACTAGGTGCCGGACTTTGTTTTTCCTTGCTCGCCAAACCGCCTTCCGATGGAAAAATTTGGTGTTTCTATCACCATCTTTAAGCCAGTCAATACGGGAGCGCTGCAGCCACATGAGTTCCTCACGATAAAGCAGCTCATTCATATGATCCTCGACCCGCCGTATCTCCCTCCTGTCTGCATTCATCTCCATAAGTTCCTCCAACCGTGTTCTGGATTTTTCTAGTTCCCTCGTCACACTACCAAAAGCTTTTTTACTCCAAACTTGAAGCTCCGCCATGAGGGCGCTCAGCCCGCACCGAATGTCACCCAGATTGTGTTTTGCACCAGCCCTAGACCATGCTTGTTGTACACGTTCCGGAAGGCTCGATTCTCGCTCCCACATGACTTCGTACTGTTTTTGTCGGGGATGACGGGGTTGTTCTTCCTTCTCACATTGCAGGACAAAAGGGCAGTGATCTGAACATGGACTCACTTGATGTACCACCCGAGCATCAGAAAATATGTCACGCCAACTGTTATCTGCAACCGCACGGTCTAGCCGGACCTTAACATTCCTGTTTCCCTGCCTTTTATTGTCATATGTGTAGGCCAATCCAGAGAAGCCCAGATCAATCAGCTCACATACCTCAAGTACCTCCCGGAAAGCCAACATCTGCGCTTCACTTCTCCTAGTAGCAGAGAAATGTTCAAAAGACCACATGGCCTCGTTGAAGTCCCCCAAGACACACCATGGCAGATTGGATTGCGCTTTCAGGTCTTGCAGCGCAGTCCACATGAGATGCCGGTTCTCAACCCGCGGTTCACCATACACACAAGTCAGACGCCATAGAGGGGCATCATCAGACAAACGGATATAAGCATCAATATACCTCTCTTTTATTTCTTTAATTTCAACAATGAATCTGATCACACCAAAAAAGTGCCAAACCACCACTAAGACCATTACTATCACACCCAGCAAAACCTCCTAAGCCTAGTCTACCACGAAGACGACGAACTTTATTTGCTTTTTGACGCGTTTCACACAAGAACACCGACTTGGCATTGGCCGATTTGACCAAGCCAACCAAATCTCGAACTGTCGGGTCATTGGCCACCCCCCGACAGTTCCAAGCTAAGCAATTCATTGCTCCTGACGGGGCACATCACGTGTCCCCGTCAGTTTACCAGCGGCCCCTGGGCTGGTTGCCTCCATTTGCATGGCCCCCTCTGTTCCATCTCCCATGTCGGCATCCTGCGCCGACCTCTCCGTACTGTCCAGCTTCTGTTTCTTTGGCGTTCCTGTACCTTGCTGCACCTCCTGCTCAGTCTGCCTGACAAAGGGAATAAGAGCTAAACTTTCATCAGTCCTTGAAGTACCAAAGGTTTGCTGTGCACCTGCAACTCTCTTTCCCAGTGCAGAATTTCCCTCCTCTGAATCCTCCATGTTGGCCTCCGTGGCATCTGTCTCCAGCGTCTTGAACATGGGTAGCATATCAGAACTCTTCGGATCAGTCAGGCAGTGACCCTCGGGGTCCTTGGTGAAGCTGGGACTAGCCCCCATACTCTGCTGGTTTATCACATTCTGGTTTTAGCATCATGGATATTTTTGAAACTCTCTTCCTCGGTTTAGCACACCATCGGAGGACAGGGCGTCGACCTGTTGGCTGGGCAGCTAAGGTTGCTGCCAGCCCACCCAAGTTCGAGTCCCGGCACGGACGCGTGGTGCTCACGGAGTTTCTCCTATAAAGAAAAGCCAACAAGGGTTAGCCCTTGGGTTGGTCTCATTTTTTTTGGTTTAGCACACCATCCAGTCAATCTCGACAATACTCATCGAATAAAATATTTATCAATCGGAAGGATCAACGTGAACTCGTCAAGGTGGTATATCAACAGAAAGAAAAGTTGTATCATCCTTTTCGTTTCAACCATCAACTGAGCAAATTTGAAAATCTATTTACGAATCAGAAAAATTATCAATCATTGAATATAGCTCAATCTATCTTTTCTTTGAAATGGAGCAAAGAATTGGTCATTTTTCTGATTTTCGCCCTCTAATCTCTTGCTCAAAGAATATAACCGACATGTGCACCGTTGCGCAAAGGAGAGAGAGAGAGAGAAAGGCCACCGAAATAACTACCGATGCCCGGACTCGTTTGGGTTTCCTTCCACATCTACCTCCACACGAAAATTGTTTATTTGCCCGTCTCTGTATCCTTGTGCCAGTTTAAACTGCCTTATATTCATTCCAGTCTATTGGATTTGGATTGGGGCACCATGGAGCAAAGGAATGGAACAAGCAAGATAAGCATCAGTACAAAATTTAAAACCATGTGGGGACTTTTTATCTTCAAGCTACCTTATGTTTATGTACGCAGGCCATTGTAGAATACCATCCTGCCATTTTAATTTTGTTGAAATCATTCAGAGATATGCTTTCTCAACATAGAAATAGCAGATAGTATACTGGTGTCTCTACAATCTTGTTGCCCATGCACCATCCATTTTCCGCAGTTTCATTGCGAAAGAATGGCATCGCATAGAAATGTCAATCCACCTCGGAGCCTCGGAGAAAAGAAAGAAAAGCGGATGCATACATACCATGAGAAGCTGTCACTAACAATCTGATGCGGAAAACAAACGCGGCATCGAGAGTCGCCGAGGGAACACAGAAATGATATGGAAACACGACGAAGTGACCACGATACGGGTTGATTAGTGCTACCATAACAGTCTCTTACATGCTCATCACAGACACGAAACCACTAAGATAATAACACTCCTAATTTTTTTTCTCATCAAAGGATCATGATAGACACAGGCAGCTTGCTACCAAGAGGAGGAAGAAGAAAATGGAAAATGCAGGCTACATGACCGAGGTTCTACCGACAAGAACCAACCAAATTAACCCAGCGAGTTAGTCAGATGAGGCAAGCAGCCCAGATGCATAAGGGTGGATGGATTGTTCAGTTCGCTTCAGTTCAAGCCATCCAGAAGAGAATGTCGGGACGGCCGGCTGGGTTCACTTCTTGTGCACCCTGCAGTCTGGAGAGTTTGGCTGCAAGGGGGACAGCGGCTGCCTCGACGCGTCTGTGCTGTTGAAATCGATGGCCAGGCCGACCGGGCTCGTGTCCTTCAGGCTCGACGACTTGCGCTTCTGCTGCAACACGAAGGACGATATTGTTAATGTAGTCAAGGTAAATAGACTGACAGTAGGGCAGCAATTCACGGTTTCGACCAACAGTTGTACTGCCTGTGGTGTGTGTGTACTAAATTAAATTAAATCCGTAAACACTTGAGCTTGGTAGGTGCTTTTACCTTGGTGGAATTACTGGCGGAGTGCTCTCTTTCGGACCGATGCTTCTGCTCCTTCTCCAGCAAGCACAGCAGCCTCTTGTTCGCCTCGTCCAGAGCTGTGTTCTCCTCGAATAGCAGCTTAACCTTGAATGAAACACGCGAGAAATTTCTGACTGTCAGAGCTACGTTAGTGTTGCATGAACCAATGTTCACTGAGAAGGTGATAAGTTGCAGGTACAGAACATTTTTAGGTGTTGCAAGTACAAGAGTGAGATGGCAACGTTACCTCCTCCTCTGCTTTGTTTAGATTGGTCCTCAGTATCTCCTTGTCTCTCTGCAGGGCTTCCACTTCCTTGTTCAGTGCAGTAACCTGCGCATGATCGATAATACCAAATCATCTGATTGATGGTGGTGGATTGGAGCTCTACAGTTGAGTTGGCAGACCAAAACTAAGCCATGTACAGTACTGATATGCATCATCAACTGATTAAAAGCCGTGGATAATATATATATGATTCATCAACTGATATGGGCAGCTAGCTAACCAAGTTTCCCAATGGGAAGAACTCACAAGAGCAGACATAGAAATGGATACTTCAAACTAGATTGCAGGCTGGATGTGTGGTTTCAGGGACTTGATTGCATCAAATCAGGATCAATATCAAGTAGAAACTAGTAGATTAGCTCCTCCATATGCTGGATTCAGGGGAAAGATTGGAACAATAGTGGCTCCTGTTGTATCTGTGCAGTGCAGATGATGAAATGTGCGCAAGTTATCTGAAAGATATGCAGGTTATGTGACAGCGAGGAAAGGGGTTACTGACGTCGGGGGCGTCCCGGAGGCGCTTGCGTAGGTCGTCGCTCTCCCTGGCGAGCTCGTCGCAGGACTCCATGGCGCGCTCGAGGTCGCGCTCGTAGAGGCCGCACTCCTTCTCGAGCCTGGCGGCGTGGGCGGCGAGCTGGTCGCGCGCGGCCGCCACCGCCTCCTTCTCCTCCACGCAGCGCCGGATCCCCTCCGCGTTCATCACCGACTCGTTCTGCACGCACGCACGCACGCACGCGGGCCGTCCCGATCCGTCAGGCAGGCATTCCGTCGAACATCTTGAGTGCGCCGCAGCGGAATGGAGGGGGGAAGGGGGAAAGGGAGGACGGACCTTGAGGAGGTCGATGCGGCGGGCGGCGGCGTGGAGGTCCTCCTCGAGCGCGAAGACGCGGTCCTGGAGGCGGCGGCGCAGGTCCTCGTAGGCGGCGAGCTTGGCGCGGAGCGAGCGGTCCGGCACGGGGAGGCCGAGCGAGGCCTCGATGGAGTCGCGCACGTACTCCTCCGCGCCGCCGGGGAGCGCGGGCCCGGCGGGGGCAGGTGG